AAAACAATAAGGTTTTTATCACAAATGGTCCATGAAAATGACCATCACCATCAAGATGGTCCTTGAAATTGAAAATCAATCAATGTAGTCCCTGAAAATAGGTGTAGCAAATTAATGTGGTCATTTCGTCACAATTATGTTAAAAATTTCGTGAAGTGCTGATGTGGCACATAAAAGGGTCCCATATACCTTTTTTTTTCTTTTTTTTTTTTTCTCTCACAAATGGTCATTGAAATTGACATGTGACATCAAAATGGTCCCTGAAATTGAAAATCGATCAATGTAGTTATGCAAGTAAGTGTCCCAAATCAATGTAGTCCTTTTGTGTCAAAAATTATGTTATGTGCTGATGTGACACATAAATGGATCACACAAGTCTAATTAAATTTTAAAAAAAATTACAAATAGGTTTAATAATTTAATATTTAACAAAACGTTGTGAACCCAGAAACCCAGTCCTACAATCACCTCCAATTCCAGTTCACATTCCTCTACCTCCTTTGCCGTTTATTCTCTAAAAAAAAATGTCAATACATCCATCTCTACACACTTCAACACCCTTCATCGAATTGCACCTGGATCGAGATTACCTTTGATGACGGCTTGCCTCATTGGCAATGACTTTTGAGACATCACTGTTAACATTTAGGCGATCCTCACAACATTGATCTTGGAGAGCTTGTTCGGCGCTTCCCTGGTGGTCTGGTGACTTAAAGAATGGGCGAGGTCTGCCTTGAGATAATGAGGTTATAACTAAGGTGCGTCTATTGTTGATTGAAAACTAGTTTCAAACCCCCTCTTAGGCCTTGGTTAAAACTTGTGCCTTTGAGAATTTATGGAAGGGATCTTTCTTTGGAGTAGATCCTACTATAAAAAATAAAAAAAAATTCCAGTTGGGCAAAAGAATAAGGATCCTCTCTAGATCTTCTTTGTGAGGATCTCGAGGATCCTCTAACCATGTCTATTCATTGTACATTATGCGGTCAGAAATCATTTTAAACTTTTTATTTGAAATTGAAAACAAATAGTACCTGATGAAAACTAGCCACACGATTTATGATGAACGGATACAATTAAAGGCTACATTCTATGCAAAAAGGTATTTAGACAACTTGTTTAATTAATTATTAAATCCATATCAGCACATAACAACAAATTTTACAGAATTGTGGTGGAAAAAACATATTGATTTGCGACACCTATTTTCAAAAACTACATTCATTGATTTTCAATTTTAGGGACCATTTTGATGGTGTGGGTCAATTTTAGGGACCGTCTTTGTGATGCCCCGCCCCCGAAATACTTATTTTCAGGAAATAATTCCGATGATAGGCCCAATTTAAACTCTTGTTTAAATTACTTCCATTAATCACGATTCTTTACTTCAATTCCTTAATTCCTCACAAAACTATATCCGTATTTTAATTATCAAACATACGAATAACTTATCAATTTAATCCCCAAATTCCTTCTATTAAAACAAATTCTCAATAAAAAGATTAATTCTCGATTATTTAAGGTTGCATCTAACATTGTTAGACTACCTACGTACCCTTAAGTGGGATCAAGCCTTTCGTAGTTCACCTTTCCACTTTCTAACTCATTTCCGAAAACCATTCAAGTGACTAACAATCACTAACGAGGTTCAAAAAAAGGAATCACACCAAATGCATATCAAATATGGATTCAGAATATCAAAATTAGCTTAAAAAGATGGCATCGGCTCACTGGCCACGCGCCACCGCAGGTGGTGGTCGGCTGTCCCGACTCGCTGGAAAATTCAACTATCTCCAAAAATTACCAAATTTTACATAAATGTAGAGCAAGTTATGGGGAACAACTTTTATACCTGGGCCGAATTCCATTTTGGCCAGGAAAAGCCTCAAATCATCATGAACCCGCTGGAACCCTAAAATTTGGGTGTCCTCAATTTGACTCCTTAATAGCACTGTGGCCCTCAAACTTGTTTGGGCTTTGTTCCAAGCCTCAAGAGAACGATATAGGTGGTGGTGATCGAAGGAATTTGTTTCAAATTCGGTAGATCGTCATCTATGAACTCGTGCACCCACCGGTGCGGTTTGCCCAATTTCAAGGCCAATTTTCATCTAATTTATGGTGGAATAGGTAGATGGAAGGTCATGGAATGTTTTTCAGGTGGTGAGGGGCTTCAATTCGTCGGAATTTGACCGGGAAATGGCTGGAGTTCAATGCATCCGCCAATCGGGTCGCACGAGTCAAGAGACCCGGTTCCCCCCCCCCCCCTTTTTCTCCTTTTCTCCTTTCCCTCCTTTTCCTCTCCTCTGATTGGTCCCTCTCTCTCCCTTTATCTCCTTCCCTTTCCATTACAGTCGTCCATCTCTTTCCTTTCTCTTCTTTTCTTCTCATCTCAGCCACCCACGTGGCATAATCTTAGTACTCAAGAAAATCTGGAGCCTTTTAAAAGGGATTAAATTTACAAAAATGTCCCTAACTTTAAATGCTAATAACTCCTTCGTTCCGTTTCACGAACGGTTTTTGCTTACTCGCTCATAGGATCATCCTCTATCCAAATATATCAAGAAATCCGATAAAATATATAAAGATAAAATACGTTCTCGTATAATTATATTAAGCCAACTAGGAGCATTTCCGTCTTTTCAACCTAACAATAAATTTCACAACATAATTTATAATAATTTCCAGAAACAAAACTTTAAAAGTTCTCAATTCAATTTTTCATACCCATAAATCGATTTATTTTCGATTTTTCTCCGCATATTCATATATTTAAATTTTCAGGGTATTACAATTTTGATGGTGTGAGTCAATTTCAGGAACCATTTATGATAAAAACCTATAAATCTTGTGAGGCCCATTTATGTGCCACATTAGCACTTAACGAAATTTTTAACATAATTGTGACGGAAAGATCACATTGATTTGCGACACCTATTTTCAGGGACTACATTAATTGATTTTCAATTTCAAAGACAATCTTAATAATGATGACTAATTTTATGAATCATTTGTGATAAAAACCCAAATAATAAAGCCTCACTGCTTGATTGTTGATAACCGAGCCAGCGGGGTAGGATTTTATGTTCTCGGAAATCAAGACGTCCCTCATCGTCTACATTGCCAACTAATTAATCAACATATTGTTGTCAGTATAGACAAACAACAAATTAATAAGATCTCAAAACGCTGCAACCGACTAAGCCATCTAAATTCGAACCCCAATCACCATACTTGTGAATATAGAACCAAGCCGACACAACACAAGGTGGATAGGGCCAAGGGAATATGTAAAACATCCTTACTATGACGGAGGTTGTAGAACACTTCACCCAAATTTTATGGCATGTCGATAAAACAAAGGGCCGCCACTGCTTGATTATTGATAACCGAGCCGGCGGTTTGTATATTCTCGGAAATCAAGATGTTTCACATCGTCGACATTTGCCAACAAATTAATCAAAGATGTTGCTGACGCTGAGGGACAAACTATGGTTCTCTTAACACCAATTCCATCCTAGTATCGTCTCACATATATAATTTTTATTTCTTTTCACTTTTATATTCTTTCTAATTCCCACCAATAAAAACAGAGATTGAAAATAAATAAACAGATTGATGCTATCTTCCTTGTTTGGTTAATTTGCTCATCACACCAAATGTTAGTAAATAAATTTAGAGGGGGGGGGGTGTTGATACAGATGTTTAGGTTTTAAAATTTTGAGATTAAATATTTATGCCTTTTAGAGTTTTGATTAAATATTTTTCTACAATTTAGGTGCCACATAGATTAGAAGTAGCCTTTTTTAATTTAAATTACCCAACTTGCCATTATATAAATATACCTTTTAATTCCTAGATAATACATCAAAACTCCTAAAATCTTGTAGATAAATATTGTAGAATTTAATTCCAATAAAAAGTCTTTCAAAATACCCATGAATGTGACTTGCCATTATATTTAATTTACCTTTTAATTTTCTTACATAATATCTTAAAACTCCAAAATTCTTGTAGATAAATATTGTAGTATTCAATTTTAATAAAAAGTCTTTCAAATTACACATGAAACGTAGATTCTTCTTGGTACATATTTGATACATTACTTAATATATCTTCTTGGTACATATTTGGAATGTTTGTTTGTTTGTTTGTTTTTTTTTTTTTTTTTGTCTGTATTTGGTATGTTTATATTTATTAAAAAAATTTTGCTACATATATTTCCTCTTGATTAAACATATATTTCTCCTTGGTACGTATTTGATACCTTACTTTATATATCTTCTTGGTACATATTTGGTACATTCATATTTCTTTTTTGTATGTATTTGATACATTTATATATTATTTTGGTACGTTTATACTTATTTAAAAAAAACATATTTGGTATGTAACTTTATATATCTTCTTGGTATGTATTCAGTACGTTTAAATATATTATCTAAATGTACTAGCCTCAAGCCTCCAAAAATAGAGAATAGGTCTAATTATCTCACATAATATCAATATAAAATAGTGAAAACAACCACTAATTGAAATGGATAAGTCCATTCAAAATTCAAAAATGAGGATCACAGAATTCTAACATGGGAGAAGAAACTGGCTTCCGAAAAAAAAAGGTTACGTACAAAAACATATCAACCTGAAAGGATATATGTGGAATTTAATAATTAACATTTTAAATTAAAAAAAAACATAATAATTACATGTAATATAAATAAATATAAAAATGTTGACATGGCTATTGTTTAGGCATCCTAATTAAATTTCAAAATAGAACCAATGTTTAATCTAAAAAATATTAAAAAAGTGCAGAGGATTCTAATTTTCCCTAAATTAAAATAAAATACTCTGCGTTACACATTTGACCGACTCCGGCTCTTACTAATTTCCAATAAATTAACTATTTTTTGTTAAATCTTCACTTAGGTGGGTCCCATTCACTAACCAACCAGTAGTAGCAGAGTGTGAGTACAATAACAATGAGCCCCCATGATCTTTGCCATTTCCCTCCCCATCTCCCAAAAGACAAAAATATAGTGAAGCCTGCATCAGAGATGGCCCCAACAGACAAAGGCTTCAAAGCCTATGCAATGAAGGCTGGCGACGGCCCTAACAGCTATGCCAACAACTCCACTTTCCAGGTTTCGTCTTAATTTGTAACCCTTTTTTTTTGTCAATCTTATTTTGTAATCTTTACTCTTTTGCATTTTTCAAAGCAGGGCAGTTCTCGTTCCATCTTTTCTTCTTGTTATTGTTTGCTAAATTTTGGTCTGTTAGTATAACGAAATTGAAGATTGTTTCAAAACATGGATTACGTAACCAGATACTACTTGTAGTTGTGCGTACTCTTCACATCGGTAATGAATATCGTACCGGGCACTGAAATTAAGATGCACAATCTCATCTGTTTTTCATCTTCTACAGAAAAGAGCTGTGGATTCTGCCAGGGAAGTCATAAGAGAAGAAATTGCAGAAAAGCTGGACACACACACGTTGTCGTCGTCATCCAGCACCTTTCACATTGCAGATTTGGGTTGCTCAGTTGGGCCAAATACATTTTTTGCAGTTGAAAACATACTTGAAGCTGTGCAACTAAAGTATCAAACTCAAGGACCGAGTTCTCGAACCCCCGAATTTCAAGTTTTCTTTAATGATCATTCCGGAAATGATTTTAACATGCTCTTCAAATCGTTGCCTAAGAATCGGAATTACTACGCCGTAGGCATGCCTGGTTCTTTCTATGGTCGGCTATTTCCTAAAGCTTCCATTAACTTATTTCATTCTTCTTATTCCCTTAGTTGGCTTTCAAGAGTGCCAAAAGAGATACTGGACAAGGAGGGTCCTGCTTGGAATAAAGGAAAAATCCATTACTCAAATTCCACAAGCCCAGGAGAAGTAATAAGGGCTTATGAAGCTCAACATGCTGAGGACATGGAATGTTTCCTTTCTGCCAGGGCACAAGAGATCATGTATGGAGGATTGATGATGCTTATTATTATGTGCCGCCCCAGTGGTACCCCTCATTTTGATACTTTGGCAACTGCGACCTATGAAACTTTAGAATCTTGCCTCATGGACATGACCAAAGAGGTAAGCCATGATAAAAATGAAATATATGTCTGTACATCCCCTCCGTTGAGGGATCTTTCAAATAATTTTATTTGAGAGACACCTTTGGTGCTTATTCTATAACTTTTCTCAACGATCCAAACTGTTTAGTACATCATTTATAGATCATTTCTACAAAAAAATTAGGCAAATCCAAAAACCATTAAAACATATAATTATAGTAAAGAAAATAGACAAATACGGTTTTTCAAAGAAACGCTAATATAACTACCATTTAATCCAACGGTCAAATGGTTTTGCATTTGGGTAATTTTTGATAGAGATGATCTTTCAGAGAAGATCTAAAAAAATGAATGATAGGATTGTTGCAATATATACAATGTGAAGTGGCCACTTAGTACTATAGTCTAGTAGTATTTCTCTTCACTTGTAAGTGAGAGGTCTTAAGTTCAATTCTCGCCAAAAACGAGTTTGAACTACATTATCATTAGCTCATTATGAGGCTAAACATACCCCTCCCTTTTAGTGTAGATAATATCGTTTATTAAAAAAAAAAAAAGAATGTGGAGTGGGTCCTATAAAGCGTCCTTATTAGAGGGATCCTCAACATAAGGGGAATGTTACATCCATTGGGAGACACTATATGCATGTATAATTGCACAAAAAATTATCTGTGACGTCAATGTATTTTGCCATAATGCAGGGAAAAGTTAGTGAAGAGAAAATTGATTCATTCAACATACCTATATATTTCATGTCTCCGGAAGAGGTGGAAGTTGCTGTAGACAGAAATGGAAACTTCAACATAGAGAGAATACAAATCTTACCAAATGTATTGACAAGTACTGCTCTCTCTAATGCCTCAATATTTACATCTCACCTTAGAGCTGTCGTGGAAACACTCCTCAAGGAGCACTTTGGAGACGAAATGTTAGATGAGCTCTTCAACTTATATCACAAGAAAGTTGCAGAGCAACCCTCCAAGTTTGGGTCGGGGAAGGCTATTATTTCTCTCTTTGTGCTTAAACGCAAGGAGAATTGATGTTTGTATTTCTCTTTTCTTACTGCGCGCACTTTTGTTTATGATTTGAATAATTTCGGCAATAAAAAATCGCAGGAGTGAAGCTTTTATGTGCGGATATAGTCTCATTGTACAGTTGTACTAATCGAGTTAAGAGTACTGAGAAATGGTAATATGATGTGTATTAGACTTTGGAAATTGAACGAAATATTCAAAAAGGTTTTTATCACAAATGGTCGCTGAAATTGATCTTCATTATCAAGATTATCCCTGAAATTAAAAATTAATCAATGTAGCCCCTGAAAATAGGTGTTGCAAATCAATGTGGTCTTTCCGTCACAATTCTGTTAAGAATTTTGTTAAAGTGCTAATTTGGCACATAAATGGGCTTCACAAGATTTATGGGTTTTTTTTTCACAAATGGTCTATGAAATTGACTCACACCATTAAGATGGTTCCTGAAATTGATCCACACCATCAAAATGGTCCCTAAAATTGAAAATCAATCAATGTAGTCCTTAAAAATAGGTGTCACAAATCAATATGATCTTTTCGCCACAAATATGTAAAAAAAACTTGTTATGTGTTGATGTGGGTTTAATAATTAATTAAAAAAGTTGTCTAAATACCTTTTTGCACAATGGAATTTTTTTTTTCTTACAGTAGGGCCTACCCCGAAGAGAGCTTCCTTCCATAAATTCTCAAAGTCACAAGGCTTAACCAAGGCCTAAGAGGGGGTGTGGTAATAGTTTTCAATCAACAATGGATGCACCTCGGTTATAACCTCATTATCTCAAGGTAGACTTCGTCGTTCTTTTCATCGCCAGACTACTAGGGATGCGCCGAACAAGCTCTTCAAGATTAAGGTTGTGAGGATGTTGATCGCCTAAATGTTAATGGTGATGTCCCAGAAGTCATTGCCAATGGGCCAAGCCGTCACCAAAGGTGATCTTGATCCAGGTTCAATTCGATGAAGTGTGTTGAATTGTGTAAAGATGGGTGTATTGAGATTTTTTTTAGAGAATACAAAGTGAATGAGGTATAGAAATGTGGGCTGAGATCAGAGGTGATTGTAGGACTGGGTTTTTGGGTTGACAATTTTTTATTAACTATTAAATTATTAAGCCTATTTGTAATTTTTTTTTTTAATTTCATTAGACTTGTGTGACCCATTTATGTGTCACATCAATACATAACAGAATTTTTTATAGAATTGTGATGGAATAACTACATTGATTTGAGACACTTACTTGAGGGACTAGATTGATTAATTTTCAATTTTAGGGACCATTTTGATGTCGTGGGTCAATTTCAGGGACCATTTTGATGTCATGGGTCAATTTCAAGGACCATTTGTGAGAAAAAAGGACTTCTGGGGCCATTTATGTGCCACATCAGCACTTAAGAAATTTTTTAACAGAATTGTGACGGAAATACTACATTGATTTGCGACACCAATTTTGAGGAACTACATTGATTGATTTTCAATTTCAGGGACCATCTTGATGGTGAGGGTCACTTTCAGGGACCATTTGTGATAAAAAATCTATTAAAAAAGAATGATAAGGGTTAGGTCACGTTGTAGATTGGGGATGGCATGGCGGCCAGTGTCTTCACGGTTGGGGCAATTAATCCTTTTTCTTTCTAATTTGCTTATGGTTTAACTATTTGGGGCAGTGCCATATGTGAATTTGATAAGTAACCAGCGTCAACATAATAAACAAAACAAACATCATTATGAGGATCAGGGGCTTAGATGGGTATACCAAATCTGCCCGGATTGCTTCAATCTGTAAAGTGAACGGGTCAAACGAGTTGAGAGGGTGTTTAGTGGTTTAGAACCATTTGAACCAGTTCATATAAGTCTTCGAGAACTTACACGTAAATCTTTGTATCAATATCCCCCTGGAGAAAAGTGCTAACCACATTTATAATGCTACAATCAATAACAAGGCATTTGAGAGAAGCCTTGCACAATAACGCGTGCACTAAATCACACTATTTTTTCATCTCTTTACACTTCATTTCCCACTTATAACATGATAATGTTACCTTACCTTAGGTAGTGTAGGAACGACTTGTCCAAACACATTTTCATAAAGAATATAATTCAACTGGGATTGTAATTTCAATTGTCAAATCAGTTTTACATTTTTACTAATCAACAAAGCATTGTTCAATATCGTGACTTTTCATTTATGTCGGTAACTACCATATAATTGAAACATCATCAATGATAATCTTATTCTAATTCCTTATCTCACCCAAACTAGTATATTGGACCAAGAACTTCAGGTCTCGAGAGTAATTCAGATCAATCTCATGAGATAGAAATGATTGAGACATTGATCGAGTATGGATTCATTTTGCCTTATCCTTCCTCTTCTAGGGAAGTGAATCCTACGAACCGAGTTATCTGTTGTGCTTTAGGCCTATGACAGATTAATTGGTTATTCTCCGGTGTACTAGAACGTCCAACAAGGGTGGCCAACTATCCTCCTAGGGCGACCGACCATCCTTTAGGGGTAGAACACCCATCGAGGATGTTAACTTGCCATCCATTAGGTATGTTTATCCTTGCAGATATGGTTGCAACTGGTATTTGATTTCTTCACTTTAGCTAGATCAGAGAAATACGTCTAGAGCACATTTTGAAAGCTAGAATACATTGCACTTGCTTATCATACTTGTGTGGTACAAGGATCGAGATGAGACATAGTAGGCAACGTCCACGCTAATTTATGCCCTTGTTCAGGAACATTGACATTCTTATCCCCTCTAACATTGGAATACTATCTCATTAAAGTGACATTTGCAAATAAGCAGTAAAGAGATCACTTGCAAGGGTTTTAAAGAGCTATTTTGAAAAAGAATCATAATCGAAAGAGATTCACATCCTTTTTTGATGACCCATATTGGTATGTTTCAGCAACACAACGTGACACATAAAATGCACACCTAAATGTGTAAGTGTGAAATGTGAAGTTGTACCTAATAACCAGCTGTAATGTCAAAATGATTTGGGTGACAATGAGCCTTAAGGGAACCAACATAGCTGCAAACAAGATTGCATAGCCCTAGGCAGTTGGTGCGTTCACAAAATTGGGGCAATGAATGTAATTGTGCTTTATGATCGCTCTGCAAGGCTGTTTGGGGGTGACCATAGAGAATTCGATGTTTAATTTGCAAACTCAAAAGACATGCAATACTTATCAAAACATCTTCTATATAAACTCTCTGGTATTATCCAGTCTTCCAGACTCTATGGGATAATTAGGGTGGTGAACCCTTAGGTTAAACTCAACCAAGAGGTTAGTAGTGCGTGGACAAACATGTGACCAATGTGTCGGTAAATCAACCAAAACCATAGGTAATTACACAATCCACCTTTTGGTTGGATTAGTCCACAATTATTCCCTTGAATTCATTGTGAAAAGAGAGCCATTTAGTATTTTTGCTAGGGATAACATATCTAATTTTCCAAACGAGCAGGCTTGGCAAAGTGTGCTTGTAAGCACAAGATCCTTAATTTAGGTAAGGAGACGCGTCGTATACGTGGCATTGTTGTTGTTATTCGACCTATGTGTCCCAAATGGTCGTGCCAAAGCAAGTAAACTGCTCAAATCACTCGGTTTTAGGCCGACCACATATGGCACATCCCAATTTGGAGGCAGACTATTAGCCCCAAAACTTAGCTTCGAGCTTCATGTTTTGGAAGTGGTGCAAAGATATTCTTGTTGAGACAAAATTGTTACGAGAACAGATAATTTACTCGTGACAATTTCACCCTCGTTCATTTTTCCGAAGAGAGTTTTATTACTTTAAGTTCGACCCTTTCTAGACTACGTGTTGTGGAGCTAAAAATAATCAAGAAACTTATGGAGGTGACATGTGTACTTTTGGGTGAAAAATACAAAATTACCGTCGAGACACACTGGGATTCCCATGCGCATGCAGCAGACAATAACAGCTCAATCAAGGAAGAGTCAAAGGTGATCAAAATGGTATTTATTCAAATCATTCTCATCACTCCTCATCAAATCCTCACTCGAAAGGTAACTCCTAATTTTTCTATTCAATTTAGGATTAATTACGAAGTTAATTGCAAGATATTATTCCACATAATCTCTTGCAATTATACTTATAAATCCACAATATATGGCTGGTCCCTATTCTCCAAATAGGGTTGGCCACTTCCCTATAAATAGCCTCATTCTCCCACTAAAATGCTAGGCCATTACATATTCTCTTTCAAATTCTAACTTTGGCATCGAAGATTCTTCGGCCAAAGCCCCCTCATTCATTGTGGGTGCGTGAGGCTTTTGGCCTTTATCTTAGGTGTTATTATTTTGCAGGTGCATTTTCGTCAAAGGAGAAGACGATGGAAATTTGCATCCACAAATTGGTGCTTTCATTGAGAGTCCTAATTCACACGCTCGAAGAAGACTGTCGCATTCAAAGTTTCTTATTTCTTGTTCATTTGTAGATTTTTCGTACATCCTTATTCCTAGAATTTTTTGATAAAATTCTTTGAATAAATGTAAAAGAAAAGTATAATGACTAGAAATTCGGAAACCATGACAAACAACATTTCCTACGTTCAAGGATTTGGACCAAGTGATGGAGATCGTGATGTAGCCCTACCACAACGATCCAGAAGACTCAATGCGATAGCTAGTGGAGTGGCACCACCCCCACGGGGCACTATCATTACAACCACCACGACATCAACCACTGTAGCAGCCCTAGGCGAGCTCACAACCTACAGTGAGTAGGAAACAGTGAGGCAACCAAAAACCCACGCCACTGTGCAACAGTAAGCCCAGCCATCGAAGGTAGCCCAAGTCACTGCCCCAGCACCCACACGCGCCACACACGGAGCAGCCTGCACACATGGCCCAACGCATTCTCGTGGCCCTCCTAGCACCCCAAACCGGTACAAGATCGGTTAAACCAGCCCAGCTTCAGATTTCTGGACCGACGATTGAATCGTGGGTATTTTCACCTCATTTCTCCGCAGA